TTATATACTGAATCATATGCTTTTCCCCCCTCGTGTACTGATACACATGGTCTGTTAACATTTTTACTTTTTCCCTTATATACTGAATCATATGCTTTTCCCCCTCGTGTACTGATACACATGATCTGTTAACATTTTTACTTTTTCCCTTATAAACTGAATCATATGCTTTTTCCCCCTCGTGTACTGATACACATGGTCTGTTAACATTTTTACTTTTTCCCTTATATACTGAATCATATGCTTTTCCCCCCTCGTGTACTGATACACATGGTCTGTTGACATTTTTACTTTTTCCCTTATATACTGAATCATATGCTTTTTCCCCCTCGTGTACTGATAACATGGTTTGACATCACTTTTTCCCTCATATACAGAAACAGATGCATTAATGGAACACTTTTCCTCCCAAACTTTCTCATGCCTTATACCAGGTTGCCTTAAATATAAAGTACATTTTGTAATAAAGCTCCCATTCATCAATACCAAATCTACTGTCAAATTTTAGACAGTGTGTCTATGGAATGTGGGTTTTCTTCAAAGGCTATTTACTTGGTATGAATTGAATATTTACATTGTATAGCTTCATGAAAATTATTTTAAGTATGCTTTAACTTTGTAATACATTCTAAGTGGTACAAATCTTGCTTGTTACAGGTCACCATTTTCCATAGAAGATCTACATGTATCATGTTCGATGTTCTTGCAGCACATAGATAAGTGATAAGATAGGAAACTCCGATAAGGGCACGGTCACATTTCCAAGCCGGGGCCCGGCCGGGTTGTTTGCGTGAACGAAAAATAAACAATTTGGATTAAGAGTATATACAAATAGTGCTCATGGTTAATTTTCTAAAACTTTATTTGTGTTTTGCTGTCTTATTATTATAATTTTCGTTCCACACGACTGCCCGGCCGGGCCCCGGGTTGGGAAATGTGACCGCGCCTTAAGATAGGAAACTCCTGTATATATTGTACATATTGTATATATATACATATTGTATTGATTGATTGTAAATATTGTGATTAGGTTCTGGCATCTCAGTAAAATGTCATGTTATAATCAAGTTCTTGGCCATGGTCTTGTTTTTGCTCGTCTGTCTTATCTAGATAAGATTCAGAATACCCCAGATAAAAGTTGGGCGCAGAGTTTATATTGAAGATTGACATAACCGGATTTACTATAGTATATATACCCTGAATAATCGCGCTCCTGGCTGGCGTCCCGCCTAACGGTTGCTTCCCAAACCCCAGATTGCGGTCATTAACCCCCAGCAGCCAGAGGTTGTGTAGACACAGACTAGACTTACATTGGTCACATCAAGTTTTCTGGCACAATGTTAAAAACATCAATCAGTATATCTTATATGGGGACTGTGAGTAGGGTGCAGTGACTAAGCATCTTGTATGCACCTATATGGTTAGTTCTGACAGTTCTATGTATAGTTTTGAGCCATTTGCAAACTAACGTTTCAAGAATTGCTATTTGAGTATTAATACTATTATGATATTTGTATCTGGTGTATTCACCCATGCCGTGGGATCGAATGAGAGCACTAAGAACTTGTTTCACAAACACAATGACATCATAATCATCATATCTCACGTCATTCTTTATTTGTTAAGTACCAAAATAATTCTTGAATTTCAAAAACCATAAAATGTATCATAATAATAGGCACCATTTTAAGGTTGTGTGTGAGGTAGCATTAAAATACTGTTCTTGTTCATCCATCATGTGTATGGCACATCTCACTGGCTCACAAGTTTTTAACATTGATCTCCAACAATTGCATAAACATAAACCTTGGGCAATACTTACTTCCAAGCCTAATTTCACATCCACCACTGACAGCTATGACTAGTATGAGTTCAGATATATGTCCAGAAAGATCTCACCATTACAGTCTTTCTTGTAAATATCTGTACAGCGTGGTGGTAGTATGTGGTCACTCAACCTGTACCCTATGAACCCTGGGAGTAAAGTTGACATTTTTACATCCACATGCATATTTTATGATTGAGGGTCGGAAATGACTAGGTCATTGTTGGGAAAATTTTCCAACATGGAATATCATGACTAAAATGGCAAAAATCACTGCATAGTACAATGTTGCTTCTGCAACAATAGTTAGATGGGAAGGAACGCGGCCTGTTGTGGTAGGACATTAAGTGTCAGGATGTTTTAGGACTTGTCCTGGTCACTCCGTACTGTACACGTGTACAGTTTACATTGTCACTCGGGTACAGAGTCGCGGCCACATTCCTCCTGTCCTGTACCAACAGTCGTGGGCTTGACCCTAACTACAGTCATCTGTTCCATAGAACTAGTCTGCATTCACTGCAAAGTTTACCAAATGTCTTGGCGCGACACCAGGCGAATCGCCTTTGGTGCTTGCTCAGTGACTGTTGATTGCATAATAATGGAACACAGTGTTCGAAATACCTGTCTGCAGTCTGCAATCTGCAGATAGATTTTCAATATTGCAGAAGAAAAATTTATACAATCTGCAATTTTGCAGCAGGAAAAATTGGCACTTGGGATTTGACGCTTTTGGCCCCAAGGACAGACAACACTTAAGCTCCTGTTTTGAAACAACAGGAGCGTCTTCACTAATTTGCATCAACCTTGTCTTGACTTGTTTATCTTTTGTTTCCTTTTGGACTTCCAAAAATTTGTCTTCACTAATTTGCATATGAATCAATAGTTCATGCTTATAAACCTGCAAGATTGTAGTATGGAGGCTTGTGTATTTGCAGAAAGTATTTCCAAATTGCAGAACAAAATTTTGACTCTTCTGCAATATTGCAGAGCGCTGAAAAAAAGTATTTCGACCACTGGAACAGCAGGTGCCAACTTGTGATGAAAGACTGAAGAGGGTCTGCCCCTCGTACAGTATGTTGCAGTCATACATGTAGGAATGCAGCCATCCAGACCGACTGCAGCCTTCTCGGTGCTGGAACCATGTAGATCTGACCTGGATCTTCAGAGAGGAATTTCCCAGAATGCCCCAACTTCTGGTCACAGGCTTGGCAGCAGTGCACGTATGATGACTCCATCTGGCAGGCCACACAGGACCAGCTGCTTAACCTATCTAGACCGGGGAGGGGGGCTAAAAGTACATGTACCCACAACATGCAGTGGTAGAAATACTTTTTTTTTAAATGTTCTGCTATATTGCAGAATGTCAAAATTTTGTTTCTGCAATTTGCAAATACTTTCTGAAAAAGCACATCTTTTCAGCTTAGTTGTGTTTCTATTAATAGCAATAACAGTAAGTACTAGTTTTTGCTCCTAGAAACTGCACTATCTGGGTTTAGAACCAATATATGTTGTTTCTGCAGCACATCTGAGAAAAACTGGCCACATGTTCAGGCCAACACCATTTAACGTGTTGCCTTATTTTTTTAAGTCTGCAAAATTTTTACCCAAAACAATTGGACTCACAGTCATTATGAATTAAGTTTGAACTGCAATTTCCAACACAAAATATTGGGCTTACCCAAATTTTTGACTACATCTCCAGTCTTTGTCGAGGAATCCTTGACAAGGAAGAACACAGATGAACTTTCAAGATAAAATTGTACGTTAATTTTTCTTCTACAATATCAAAAATGCCTGCAAAATGCAGACTACAGGTGGGTATTCTAACACTGACAAGGAACCCCCCTAAAAGCCCGATCTAGATAGGTATTAATGCAGTACTGCGTCAGCAGAGTTGAGGGTGGCCTGCAGTGAGGTGTTGATTGCAAGGCCACCCTCCATGTAGTTCTGGCGAAAGAAACTACACGTTGTAATGCCGGTGCGGAGGTGAGAGGTGACCACCACTGGTGTTAGGCTGGACACCACCACAGCACTGTACCCTTGGAAGGTTGATGTGTAGTGGATCTGAAAAACATTCAATATTCACTACTTCTTGTCTGTTTTGGAGAACAAAAATAACAGCACTGCTAGGTTAATATACTAGCAAAGAAACCTGCTTGTTCAAACACCCATTATCTCCATCTAAATGATATACATTTACGAATTTGTGTACATTGAGGGGACAAGTAGTGCATGGGAAGATGATTTCTAAACTTGGTAGTTGAGCATTTTTTTCTGCTAAGGAGTGCTGTTAATTAGTCAGCAAAGGTTGGTTATGAGACTTTTTTAGGGCTGCACCATGTAAAATGAAATAAGTAGAATGTCAGCAAAACTAAGTATGGTATGTTTCTGGCAATTAGATTTTAAGAATATGCTACTAATATATATATACTATGTACAGTACATTTCACATCTTGACATACATAAACCTGCAAATCTAAAATATTTGGGTGCACCCACAGAAAAAAAATGGGTGTACAGCTCCACTAAGGTGCACATGCACCCAGTAGTTCGAGCCCTAGTACATGTAGAATAAAATTACCTGGCCATCCTGCCCGATGTGTCTCGCCCTCTGAAAGTGGCGGCGGCACAGGTAGTTGGTGCCGTCTCTTCGGGCAGGTGACCAGATCCGCTGTGCTGTGGCGATGTCCGGGATGGTCACCCTCACACTCCGCAGTCCGGCTCTGCTGACGCAGTACTGCCGTGTCGCAGTACCCCCATACCCTGTGAGCAGCGCCTCCAGGTGTATCCACAGGGTAGGGGGTACATTGATGCTAAACACGGCCAGTCCTGTGTGGAAGCGCGGACGAAGCCGCCGGGACATACCCTGGCCGAGCTGCATGATGTAATGGTCCACAAGTGGCCCGACCAGGGTAAGGTTGAAGCCCACGGCGGCCTCGATGTCCGCGCTCATGCTGGCGGTGCCCACCCCCATGCCAAGGTCAGGCAACTCGGTAGGGCGAGTGACCGCCAGCATTCCCCGCCAGATGGGGTCGACGTGGTGCTGCACTGCTGCCTGTGCCAGTGCCCAGAAGTTGTTGGCATTGCTGGGATCTCTCTCTGAAGATCCAGGTCTGATACGCATGTTCCCAGCGCCGAAAAGGCTGCAATCGGTCTGGGTGGCTGCATTCGCTCGAGTTTTATAGAAATGCGCCATGTTGAAAAAGCGCGAAGCATGTCGGGAAGGGACAGGCGTAGCGGACCTAGGGATGACCTGAAGTGAACTCTGACAGAATTTTCGAACAAGGTTCGAATTCGATGGGACATGGGAATTTTTGAGCCCGAATTTGACCACCGTGATACGATCTGTAAAATTTGCATATTTTACTTTTTACACCATGCAAGAATACACATAAAAGTGTCTACGGTTGAAAGGAACGGAACGGAGTTTTGTTTTTCAAGAAGACCTTACATTTTGTTTTGTCTCCATGTAGTTAACGGAGGTTGGTCGAGTTGGGGCGGATGGTCTAGCTGCAGCGTGACGTGTGGGTCCGGGAGCCAGTCTCGTAGTAGAACCTGCACCAACCCTGCACCAGCCTTCGGAGGGGCGAACTGTGCCGGGCAGTCTCGAGAGACACGGCAATGCAACGCGGGGTCTTGTCCAGGTAATTCGAAGTAAATTTTATGGATGACGTCCGCGCGCGCATTGATTTTGGCCTGTTCCTAAAAAAAAACCCAAGAAATTCCGCTTCCTGTAACTATGACCAAAGAGTCACCACAGTGCCGCAAATCGTTAGATTGACGTGAAACCCGTAACGCGAAATGGGTAAAGAGCACATGCTTTGTTTCTGCAGGCCTGCAAAAATGTGATGAAAGAAACAGGACAGGACGACAACTGCTGTTCCACCTGATTTATTACTGTTTTGATGATGAATAAAATACTTCATGCTTGTTACACTGTGTCACCTCATGCAATTTGTGTCCTAACATTTGTTGTCTCTTAGTATATTTCTAATCTAGGCATCTTTTTTTAGGGCCCTTCTTGTTTAGGGCCCTTTTTGTTTTTTTTTTCGCCCTGTCGCATTAGATTTAGGGTCTCAAAAGGACGTCATCCATAAAATTTACTTGGTGTGGCCTTAAATATATCCAAACAGATGTAGTTTCAACGTTGTCTCTTTCAGGTAGGAAATATAGGTTTCTCCCGTGTGTCACAGGTCGAGTTGAGAATGTATTTCAAAATTTGCAGCACAGTACGAACATTAAACTTAAAAGTGTCTACGGTTAAAAGGGACGGAGTTAAGTTTTTCGAGAAGACCCTACATTTTGATGTGTCTCCATGTAGTTAACGGAGGTTGGTCGAGTTGGGGCGGATGGTCTAGCTGCAGCGTGACGTGTGGGTCCGGGAGCCAGTCTCGGAGTAGAACCTGCACCAATCCTGCACCAGCTTACGGTGGGGCGAACTGTGTCGGGCAGTCTCGGGAGACACGACAATGCAACGCGGGGTTTTGTCCAGGTAAGTAGAAGTCATACATGCCTATCGCCGCAAATGTAGTTTCAGCGTTGTCTCCTTCAAATAAGAGAGATAATATCGTCTCGTGTGCCAGAGGCTAAGTTGATGAAACAGAAAGACACATGCATAGCAGCAACACCTCTGCTGCAGTGCAGTGTGAACCAGTCAGAATTGCCCTGAGGAACGGGACAGACGGTCATCGAAAGGTCGGATGTGAATAAAACCCTTGGTTGTTTAAAAAAAAACTTCTTTACTCAAAACAGAAAGAGGTGTCCATTTAGATTCTAAAGACAATCATTTCCCCTTTGAATGCTTTTTACACTTTGCAAGAATACACGTAGAAGTGTCTATAGCATTACTTGAAACGTACGGAGATTGAGTTTTTCAAGAAGACTTTACATTTTAATTTGTCTTCATGTAGTTAACGGAGGTTGGTCGAGTTGGGGCGGATGGTCTAGCTGCAGCGTGACGTGTGGGTCCGGGAGCCAGTCTCGGAGTAGAACCTGCACCAACCCTGCACCAGCCTTCGGAGGGGCGAACTGTGTCGGACCCGCTCAGGAAACACGACAATGCAACGCTGGGTCTTGTCCAGGTAAGTCGAAATTATACATGTGTATAGCCTTAAATCAAATCTCAATGTCTTCATATTAAAAGGAAAGATTATATCGTTCTGTACGCCACAGGCCAAGTTGACAATGTTATGAGTTTTTTTTATATGCCAACATGTAATAACAAGACGTGGTGACGGCCCACTCAAGTTTTTTCAACTTGTATTAATGCCACCATCATTACCGGGGACAATACAATACCCATTTTCACCTGAGCGAAGTGCGGAAAGTCGTGTAAAATGCATTTCCCAAGGGCACAAGATCGGTGGCATGTCAGGACTCGAACCCAGGACCTCTTGGTTCCGAGTGGAACAATCTGTCGTTACGCCACGCGACCTCACACGTTATAAGTTTACAAAATAGGAAGAGATTCCAAATGCAGTCATCGTCCCTGCGAATGCACTTTGCACTTTGAAAAAAATACACGTAGAGGTGTCTGAAGGGACGAGTTGGGGCGGATGGTCTAGCTGCAGCGTGACGTGTGGGTCCGGGAGCCAGTCTCGGAGTAGAACCTGCACCAACCCTGCACCAGCCTTCGGAGGGGCGAACTGTGCCGGACCCGCTCAGGAAACGCAGCAATGCAACGCGGGGTCTTGTCCGGGTAAGTTTGTTTGTTTGTTTGTTTATTGGGAATCTCCATTAGTTATACAAGCTGTGTATACTAATCTTCCTGGAGTCCTTTCACATAATAGAATACATACAATTATCAACTTAATAGTTACAAAAGATTCAACAACATTATACATAACAATTGCTTAACAAGAACAATAAAAATTACTAAGTAACAGTAACTACTTATTAAATTTACTTATACTTCTAACAACAGCAAATATACAAGTTGTGGAGAAGTCGAAGCTATACATGTGTATCGAAAATGTCATTTCAATGTTTTCGTCTTCAGATAAGAAATATTATACCGTCCTGTTGACAGGCAAAGTTGACAAAGTTAACAACAAAGTGGTGTCCATTCCTCTTCACAAACTGGGATTGGTTCCCTAACCAACCATTTCCATTTTGCATGCTTTTTGCAACATGCAAAACATGAATACAACCTGCAGTGTTTGTAGTACTTAGTATCACATGTACTGAAGTGGCAACGGTTTTCAGAATAACATTTTTTCTCCATGTAGTTGACGGTGGTTGGTCCGACTGGGGCGCATGGTCTAACTGCAGCGTGACGTGTGGAGTCGGGACGGAAACTCGGGACAGAACATGCACCAACCCTGCACCAGCGAACGGAGGGGCAGACTGTGACGGACCTGCTCAGGAGACACAGGCATGTGACACGGGGGTGGCTTGTCCAGGTAACTAAACGTTTTACTGCTTCCATCATGGATTTAAAGATCAATGAGAAGGTGAAAGATTCTGATCTTGAAATAAGTTTTGTGCCTGATTTTTGGACTACGCATGGATACAACCAGCAGTGTATATAGAGCTCCTTCAAAGGGATGAAGTTTCAGTTTTTTTCACGTACATTAAATTTTAATTTGTCTCGAATTAGTTGACGGTGGTTGGTCCGACTGGGGTCCATGGTCTACCTGCACCGTGACGTGTGGAAACGGGACGGAGACTCGGGACAGAACCTGCACCAACCCTGCACCAGAGAACGGTGGGACAGACTGTGACGGACCTGCTCAGGAGACACAGGCATGTGACACGGAGGTGTCTTGTCCAGGTAACTAAACGTCTTACTGCCTCCATCATGGATTTAAAGATCATTTATGAGAAGGTGAAAGATTCTGATCTTGAAATACGTTTTTGTGCCTTCTTTTTGGACTACGCATGGATACAACAAGCAGTGTCTCTAGAGCTCCTTCAAAGAAATGAAGTTTCAGTTTTTTTCGCGTACATTAAATCTTAATTTGTCTCCAATTAGTTGATGGCGGTTGGTCCGACTGGTTCGCATGGTCTGGCTGCAGCGTGACGTGTGGAGTCGGGACGGAGACTCGGGACAGAACCTGCACCAACCCTGCACCAGAGAACGGTGGGGCAGACTGTGACGGACCTGCTCAGGAGACACAAGCATGTGACAAGGGGGTGCCGTGTCCAGGTAACTCGACGTTATAATCATATATACGTATATTCAATGTATCTCTCTAAGCAAATTATAAAAGAAATACTAGTAAAAGAAGCAAAGGAAGAACCATGTTGTCAATAAACAACACAGCAATAGGTCTTCATTTGACTGTGACGGACTCACTCAGGAAACACAGGCATGTGACACGGGGGTGTCTTGTCCAGGTAACTAAGTTATACTGCTGTCAACATTGATCTAAAGATCATTTATGAGAAGGTGTAAGATTCTGATCTTGAAATAGGTCCTATTACCTGCTTTCTGGACCACGCATGGATACAAGCAGTGTCTCTAGAGCTAATCCAAAGGGAAGTTTAAGTTTTTCCGGCGTACATTAAATGTTAATTTGGTTGTTAGTTGACGGCGGTTGGTCCGACTGGGGCGCATGGTTCGCCTGCAGCGTGACGTGTGGAGTAGGGACGGAGACTCGGGGCAGAACCTGCACCAACCCTGCACCAGCGAACGGTGGGGCAGACTGTGACGGATCCGCTCAGGAGACACGGGCTTGCGACACAGGGGTGTCTTGTGCAGGTACCTCAAAGTTATCGCCATAGATGTATTTTTACATAATGTCCTAAGCGAAGCATGATAGAGAATATTTGCTTAAAAATATCCGGTAGAGATTCTAGGTATTAGCACTTACAGGAGGTTTCTTTGTAGCAATGGTTAGACTCTAGTCCATTAGCAACGTTTCATACGTTTCATACCCCACATTTCCAGCGCTCTCGGGACTGACCCTCGTTGATGCCGGGATTGACCATCTCACTGTTTCCTGGAGAGTCGTGGGGAATCTTCCGATCTCGCGCTACAGACTCCGCTACCAGCCGGCAGACGGGTCGGGCTCGTACAAGGACCTCTCCCCCAAACCAGGACCGGACGCCACCTCGGCGACTGTGCAGAGACTGCTGGCCAACACGGAATACACCCTCACGCTGACTTCTTTTGGCGAGGACGACCAGCCAAATAGGGAGATCAGTGGTACATACACCACAGGTGGGTGATGTAAAATACCGATGCATTGAACGCTGGTCCAGCCTCTAGTTTGTGCTACAGTGTATATGGAATTGGCCAATCCCAGATCAAGCGGTCAGGGGTTCAGTTCCCAATTTTCCTGCTACTAGGACTATTTCCTGCTATTAGTAAGCTTCTTGGATTATCCGTCCCAGAAGCCAACAAGAATGAATAGAAGAAGTAATAATAGGCTTCTCTTACTGTTACAGAGTCGTTTGTGGTGAACGTAGTGTGCGACCAGGACAGTATGAGTCTGTCCATCCCCCGTGCGGCGCTGCCGGCTGTGAATGTGGAGGACCTGCACCTGCTGGACCCGGACTGTGGAGCCACTGAGGACGAAGACGAAGATGTCTTTAAGTTTGAGACACATCTGCAGGAGTGCGGAACCCGACAGGAGGTAAGACAGAAAACCCCAGTTACTCCCAACCTAGAGTGTTGTTTTTTTTTTTTTTTTTTATTCATCAAAACATACAGACA